CAAATATTGGACAAGTTATGATCCTTTGAATTTGATGAAAATACATAAGGTGACCTATAATATTTTGAGCTCTTAAGGCATCTTCTAATCATTTTCAAGTTTTTCACATAAAAGAAGAGTTAAATTTCACACTCTTAAGATCATTATGGAAAAATAATGGATTCAAGGAGATAAAAATTGGTCAAGTTATGACCTTTTGAAGTCACATAAGGGGAATTTGATGGCCTATCCAGAGGACTGGTAGTCTTTCTCAATCATTAGTGATCTTTCACACAATATTTGCTTGGAACTTTTGAAGTGATTTTTGATTACCCTTTAAGGAGAAGTGTGTATTTGGAATCAATCAAAAATCTCAAAATATGGACAAGATATATCCCTTATAAGTCCAAAACCCTAACTCCTATAACATCAAAATGGCTTAGGAACCCCTTTCAATTTTGAAAATCTTTCTTGTTCAAATATTTTTGCTATGTGAGAAGTTGTTGTGGATGATAATAAGAACCTATAGTAGCAAAAACCACTTCCAAATGTTGGGAATTGAGGGAGTTATTCACTTGTGATCAAAGAATCAAGAACTTGTCCAATTAGGTCAAACTTCTTTGATCAAATCTTGCATCTTTTGACTTCCTTTGGAAATTGAAGCATGATGAATCATAGTAGACCTTGTCATGACATTTCTTTAAAGCACTCTCAATGATGAAGCTTAAACTTCAATGAAGCTTTGTTGAAGAAGGCATGAAAATAAACTCATGAACCTATGAATCAACCTGATGAAGTGTGTTGTGCCCTCACCTATAGTATCATCATTTATAGAAAAAATCCATTGTATTTGTTAGTTAAAAGTTAATCAATATAAGACAAATATGACCACAATATACAAATAAAAGTGCTTGGTGATCCCTCTTGATAAAAACTAAATATAGGGAGAAAAACCAAATCCTAGTGTGATCTTGATATGAGATGATAGAGGGATCTTATGGGAAAAAATTGGGGTATAACACTAATACATAGAAGAACCAAACATAATGTGATCTTCAAGATTCACCAGCTTCTTCTTCTTCTTCTTCTTCTTCCATATTAGCCAAAGATGGTATGATTCATAGGAACCCAGTTGTAGCTCTTATTCTATTTAGCACCACATACTTAACACTTAGCTTGCTCACAGAGAACTTCTTCTTCCTTGGCCAATGTTTCACTAGTTTTGCAGTGATCTATTTGCACACAGTATCATTAGTGAGCTCCACTTCTCTCGGCTCACCTTCATCTCTTCCCACATACTATTGATAACCTTTAGTAAGAACTTCACATAGTGTCCTCTAACAAACACTTTCCTATACTCATTGCTGCTTACATTGTCACAATCTCTAAAATGTTTACTATAAACTCTCTTACGAGTATCTCATAACACTCACCAAATCCAGTTATAGTCTTTATCAACACTGCTTCCTAAATGAGACTAATCATATCCTTATAGTCAAGAGAATTACTCCCCAATTCCCGTTCTAAAGCCACTCTCATTTTGCACACAAACCTCCATTTATCTGCATCTAGATGAGTGGAAAAATATATTATCAAGAGCCACATCAGGAATATTGGGAGGAATTTTCTTTCTTGCATCAATTTTCTTGGAATATGCACCAATGTCATGAACATCAGCTTCAACATTCTCCTCGTATTCTGAGTCACTAGATAAAGCTTGATTCTCTTCAAAGATTTTCTTGCCCTGCAGATGTTTCTACTTTACTCCAACCTTTATTAGGACCAACAATTGTTATCTTCTTGAATAGTTTTTTTAATCTTTGGTAGAGGTGTCAATAGCTTTCCCTCTTTTATTCCTCAATCTCTTAGATATCCCATGAGTCACTATCCTATCAATTGATGTGTCATTAGATTCCAACTCATCAATAATGATCACATTAAGATTCTGGCCATTCCCTACTACAATATCCTCTTGATCCTCATTAGTTTTTATTTCTTTCGTGGATTTATGCACATCAGTATCTTTAAAGGTCCTTTCATCCAGTGTATGTTTTGAGTGCTAAGTGTGACTTGTATTATTTGGTTTCTGAGTGAAACTTCTAGGTTTTGTGCAAGATTTTGCAATATCTGTCTCAACATTAGGGTTAATGTTCAAGACTTTTTAGACAAATCTATGAAAGTCATGATCATTTGACCTAGTATTAGAGGCACTAGGGTTTTCTTTAACGCCTTCTTCGATATTAGGTACAACATCAGAGGTTTTCAAGGGTGTATTCATAGTCTTATCCTTTCTATATTGTTCATGGATGGTTACAGAAGCCTTACCATTTAATGGAGTTATTTTTCTCTCACTGCAACAGTCTTTGTTCTTTTCTTGGTAGGAGCGACTAGAGGAATAGTGATGGGCGAAGCATCAGTAGGAGGGATAACAGCAAAAGGAACATCGCGAAGAGTTTGCAAAAATCCCTCTATAGAGCTAGAGCTATCAAAATTTGTCATTTTGTGAGAAGATTGACCTTGAGAGGATTGAAGAAGGTAAGTACTCACACAAAATGTTGAAACCCCTTCTATTATAGTGATAGAACAAATAATGTATAGATGAGGGTTATATACAAGAATTATTTATTCTCCTAAATACACATGTATCATTCATTGGTGAAAACAACATTCCTTATACTGGTCTAGACTTAAGAAGCTATTTAAATTTTTTGACTATTGATTCATGATATCTTTGAGATCACAGAATTTCATCAAGATTTTTAGGGAGATAATGAACTCTTATAACTTTTGATGCTCCTTGGACTTAGAGGAATTTATGTCCCTACAAACTTGTTTGTTTATCTTGATTTCTATATTATTGTAATTTACATGTGAAAACAAACACGAGATATCTTCAGATCCTTTCACGGTAGAAACACATGTAACATGATTAGTTGCATCCTTCTTCCCATTCTTTCTTTTCCTGATTCTCCTTTTTATAGAGTTATCTTGAGGTTTGGAAGAATGCCTTTGATAACCATATAACATGAAACAAAATGGCTTTATATGATCATACATTCCATAAAAATGACATTTCCAAGGATGAAAATTAGCTTTGTTCCAAGTTATTTCTCCCTTGGCAGGATGTTGGAACATTTTGTTTGACATTGTAATTTTATCCTCCTTTTTTCCATCATGTTTTGTCACAAAGTTCTTTCTTTTATCATTCACAGACTGATAGGTAAAGTCTCCACTAGTGAATTGTTTTCCTTCATCTTCTATTTGAATACCTTTATCTAAAGCACTAGACCCATAATTATCAATTTTAGAGATTAACAAGGTTACCTTTTTCTCAAGTTCAGAGTTTGTAGATAGAAGATTTTCTTTTTCTTCCTGAAGTTTAGTTATGACCGTCTTTTGTGCTTCATTCATCTTACACACTTCTCCACTTTTCACACAAATATATTTATAGAGACTTACCAGTTCTTTATAGGTAATATCCTATTCACACAACTTCGTAACAAATTCATACCTTCCAATCATAGCTAAATTCTTTGCATTTTCCACATTTTTAACATTACTACCCTTCCTAATGACAGAAGAAATGTTCTGAAAATCTGGTTCTGATCTCATCTTGTCTAGTAACTGATTAAATGTATTTTGAAGAAGCCTAAAGCCTTTTGATAGTCCTTCATCAGAGTCAAGAATACTAGCACTACTCTCATTCTTCTTCTTAGATCTTTCACTCATTTTCAACTCAAAATTTTTAAGAGATCCAATAAGTTCCTCCATCTTCATGCTTCTGAAATCTTGAGCTTCCTCAATAGCTGTAACCTTCATGTCAAATTTTTTAGGCAAATATCTAAGAACCTTTCTTACCAATTTTTCTTCTGACATTTTTCTTCCAAGAGGCTTAATGCATTAGCCACTTCACGAATCTTCATATGAAAATCTTGAACAGTTTCATCATTATTTAACTTTAGGCTTTCAAACTTGGTAGTGTGAAGTTGTAGCTTTGACATCTTTACTTTAAATATAACTTCATGAGTTTTCCTAAGGATTTCCCATGCATCCCTGGCTATCGTACAAGTAATGATCAACCTAAACATATTTTTATCAACTCCATTGAATAGAGCATTCAAAGCCTTGAAATTTCCAATGGCTTCTTTGTCATCATTTTCATCCCAGTCTTCTTCAGGTTTAATCAATTCCATTCCCTCTTTCTCCTTTACCACTAGATGTACCCATCCTTTTAAAACAACATTCCATGCTTTGTTGTCCATAGATTTTAGAAAAGCTACCATTCTGACCTTCCACCAATCAGAGTTTGAACCATGTAGCAAAGGTTTCTTGTTTTAGTATCCTCCTTCCTTATCCATAGTACTAGAAAATATTTCCCTGGAGCTCACTCAATAAACAGACCAAGGAATTTCTCAAGAATCCAAAATAGGAAGGACACACTTCCAAATTACAAATAGTTATTTTTCTTAAAAGCTTCACTAAGAATAATACTCAACTCTTTTTCACAGCTTCGAGGAGAACAATAACTTGACAAACTTTCATGCACAATCAATCAACTCAAATGTATCAGAGATACATGAGGACGTATAAAATAAACAGAAATTTCCTTGAGAACCCTTTAACCCAAAAACTAAGAAAATTCGGCTTCCCCTAATTTTTTACAAAGTTCTTAATGATATTAGGTCTAGGTAGTTTCTTTAAATACTCCTCAACAACTCTTGAGCCTTGCAGTTGAGCCCAAAAAATTCTTGTTATCCACGCCAAGGGCTGCACAAAATTATGCAGGAAAATCTCCATGAATCTTGGAACAAAGCACAAGGTTTCCTAATTAGTCTCAACCAACCAATTATAGCAGCCTGTGTACGACTGAAGATATTATTTGTTCCAGATTTAAAAATCCTTGACCTACGAAAAATCAGTGAGATAAACCAAAAGGAATATCACATAATCAATTTAAAACCGCCAAGAATAAATTAAACAACATAACCTAAGTGTGGGTATAAAGAGATAGGAGTATTGGAATGAGAGGAGGAGACATCATATTTTGTAAAACCAAAAACAGAAATGGCGAGAAGGATTTTTGCTTCATCTTCTACAAACCTCACTTCCTCTCTCTGTACCATTCCATCTCCATCCACCACATCCAACCCACGTACTCCCTCGTTCTCCCATTTCTGTCACATGGACAGATCCTCCGCTGGAATCCTTCTGTCCGCTGCTACATTCAAGCTCCAAATACCAATCCACACGCTAATGCTTCTGTTCTGTTCAACATAAAAACCACTTATCGACCACCATCTTCTTCACTAATACCAACCAGCCACTATCTCTTCTCCACACGAACCATCCTTCGTTCGCCCTTCATTCTCCGACCCAGCTTCCTCTGTTCCGCTCACAGACCCAACGAACAACCTCCGATCAACTTCATCTCCACGTCACAACCTCTGTCAACTGCACACCAGCTACGCCGCTGTCCACCAACCTTCGAAGCTGTTATTCCAGTTCTGGCTGCACCTTACCTCTGTTCAACAATCATCTCCATTTTTTAGTGGTAAAACTTCATATCTATCATTATTTTCATTCAATTAAATATCTAGACTGTTTTTATTGAATGTGAATGATGAAGTTGTTATGTTATTTGTGTTAAAACTCTGATGGATTTTTATATCAATAACATGTTATTTAGGGATAAATTGTGTTGAAATTGTGATGATGTTATTGTGTTGGTTTGCGTTAATTTGAGTAATGAATTTTGATGTCAATACCATGTTTTTTGAATTAATTTGATTGAAATTTTGATTTATATACTATGTTGTTTGAGTTAATTTGAAGACTTTGATGGAATTCTTGGTGTTGATTTTTAATGATAAAATTGTTTGTGACATTGATTTTATTCTCATTTTCTTTGAACATAACCGAGATGGGATTTTTGAGCATAAATATGTGTTTTTTGTTGCTGCCCGAATGCTAATAATGTGCTAAAAACATTGTTTCAATTGTTTTTTGTTTATTCTTAAATTTAATTTGAGTATACCATGAGCTTATCTATATTTGATTTTGGTTTTGATGGGTAGAATGAGTGATTGAAATTGTAATGTTGTTGAAATTTGTTTTGAGGCCTTGGAAACTTTCATGAGATTTTGGTTGCAATTTATCATTTACCACTTACTTTTTTAATCCACAATTGAATGTGTTGCATATTTGATCCATGGTTCTTGCTTTTCTATTTCATTCATACATGTATGGTTATTTTAATTGAGAAATTGAGTTGCATATACATGAATTAGAAGAAAGTTTTCTTTGTGTTATTACACTTCCTTTTGTGTTACTAACATGTTTATGACGCGCGTAAGCTTCCAAGATGGCTCAAATGTTCACTTCCTCTTAGTACCATTTGATTTCTTTCTTTTATAATATATTAATTAACTATTGTTTTAATTAGTTGATTTTGTTAATCAAAATAGATTAGTTTACTAATCTATTTTTCTTAACCCAATTAATTAATTAGATCAATCTTTAATTAATCGAACCACATTTACCTTATTCCCTTGGTGATGTATTAATTAATTTCTATTTGTCTCATTTCATTTTTCTTTACTTTATTGTCATTTCCATTTGATAAAAAGTGCATCCCTCTCTTATTATGATGTAAATAATTTACCGCTTTTCGTTTGTTTATGTTTGAATGCTTTCTATTTCATTATTTACCATTGTCATGCATAAACTTTTCAAAGGAACTAATACTTGATGCCGAGCCTAATTTCTACCATTAGTTGACACTTTTGTGTTGCAATCGACGATACATAGCTTCCTCTTGGGCCTCTCAATAATCGACACATATGCACACTTGCACACATGTTCTCTTACATGTCTTTGGTTAATTACGATCCGACCAAGAAACTTTAAATAAAATAAGTTCAAATAACTTGTCTCATTCTTTTCATAAAGAGGACTAGATAGATTAGATAGGTACCTACCTAATATTTTCTTAAGTGTGCGAGTGCAAAATACCTATTTTGGATATTCAAACATTCGTGCCCTATAAAATCAATCTCAACTCATGCAAACCTTTTGTCACTTGGGTTTTTCAATTTAAAACCTTTTCCAAACGAGTCATATTTTGTCCATTCATGTGACAATGAAACAATGTTCCTTACACATGTGAATGTTGAGCCTTTTCCACTCGAATGCAATAACGGCCAGAATCCATGCATATCCAGATTCAGTTATCCTTTCTTGAAGTGATGAAATCGTCTCATTATCCATGTTTCAGGTAGCAATGTTTATGTTCGAATGTGATCAAGTATCTCTCACTAAAAAGAACCAACAAACAAACATTTTCTATCCGAACTACGAAGCTCTAATTTTTTTATTGCACTATGAGGGTATGTAGGCACGAGGTTTTGAAACAGAGGCTAGCACAATAATAAAAAACAAAAAAACATTTCTCCTTTCTTACCTTCGTCTTCCTCAATTAGAGGATTGTAAAATTTCACACTAACACTTGAATGCATAAGTAACTAAATAGATATCATCGAGTACGATGGATGTGAAGTGTGTTAATACCTTCCCCTTGTATAACTGACTCCTGGACCCTCTATTTGGTCTCAAAGACCATTTCTTTTCTCTCATGGATTTTATTTGATATTTTCTCTTTTCCTTCTTGGAATAAACAAATCTCGGTGGCAACTTCATTGTTTATATTTTTTGAGGCACTACACTTGGTTACTAATCTATCCTTGTATGTGTTTAGTGTACCATCACTATGATACTTCCTTCTAAACACCTACTTGCATCCAATGCGTCTTGATCCTTTAGGTATATTAAAAAGCTCCCAAGTATGATTTGACATTATTGAATCTGATTCATCTTGAATAAAATTAAGCCAAAAATATGAGTCTCTTGAAGCTACAAATTCCTTGTAAGTCTTAAGATCATCTTCCACTTGAAGAATAATAGGAATTTTATGAACAAAATTTACACTATTTCTTTCTACTAAATAAGAGAAATAAGTTCAGAATTGATTTTGTTCGGTCCTAGATCCTTAACCTTTCGATCTCTCTCGCTTTATCAAAGTTCGAGTTGTGTTTCAAAAATTCGTGAAGAACTTTTAGTTTGTATTTCAATAATTTGTGGAGAACCTTTCTCACGGGGTTCTTTCTATCTGTGAGAATTACAAATTTCTTATTCTCTGTGATAAGGATCTCACAATTCTACATCTCGATATTCAGTAGGGGTGGGAATAGGCCAGGCCGGTCTACAGAGGCCTATGGCCTAGCCTATTTGAGGCCAATCCAAGCATGGCTTATTTATTAAAAAGGTCAGGCTTAGGCTTTTAAAAAAGCTTATTTAATTAAATAGGCCAGACTTAGGCTATTAAAAAAGCCTATGAAACCTTATAGACCGGTCATATATATATATATATATATATATATATATATATATATATATATATATATATATATATATATATATATATATATATATATATATTATATATATATATATATATATATATATATATATATATATATATATATATATATATATATATATATATATATTAGACTACTTAAGCAATATGAATTTATTGAAAATATTAATGAGAAACATGCTTTTAAATAGGCTTTTAGGGCAGACCAAATTTTAAAAAGGTCAGACCAAATTAAAAAAATGAGCCTATAGTAGGCCATAGGCCAGACTCAAGCCTTGTAAATTTATCATAGACTAGGCTCAGGCCATATAAAGCCTAGCCTAACCTATTTCCACCTCTAATATTCAGTAGTTACATTAGACTCTGTAGCGGTAGAAATGTTCAAGACTAAGCCATTGGATTGACTAGACTTTATACAAATCAAAAATAAAAATTGCCACCGCGCTTTATTGTTTCCAAAGGAATGGGAAAAGAGAAAATAACCCAAAAAGAGGGGGAAAGATTCAAGGTAAGGGGGTTGGTTATGCAAAGGGAGGTATTAGCACCCTAAACATCTACGGTACTCCGCAGGAACCTCTTTGAAAAATCTGTATATTTTGGCTATAAAATATGTTGTAAAGAAATAGATGGTGGAGGTGAGAAAAGAAGTATTTTTTTATGATTTTTGCATCCGCCGCGGTTGTGAACCTTTAGTGCCGATGTACCACCTTTCGTGCAATAGGGGATTAGAGTACATGTAGTTTCTCTTTTAAAAATTTGAAACACAAGTGTGTTGGTTGATTTTAAGAGATAAGACATCATCGTCATTGTCCGTGTCAAAAACATACTTACTACCCACAATCATGAGAAAGGAGAATTTGCATCATCTCAAAGTGGAGGATATGACTTGGATTTTAAAATCAACAATGCCTCACTCAACATCCAAGTGGAAAATATCTCACTTCACTACATATTGTAGAAGTATAGTTGTTGCATCACTACAAGGAATTACAAGAGTCCAATATTTTGGGAAAAGTTTTAAAGTAGAAGCCAAAGTGGCAAAATAGTTTGAAATGAGATTGATTGACTTTTATTCTTCTCACAAAAAAATGTCAAGGTATTGTTAAGTTGATTGAAGTTTATTTATGAAAAGATTTTGAAAATGCATGGACCTCGGTCCAAGTTTATTATTAAAGTGGTTCAAGTTTAGAAACAAGAAGAGTTTTCAAAAGGAGGGAGAAGATTTTTGAAATTAAAGAAGATGGGAGGAGAAGAAGAGACTATCCTAAAGCATAAGGTAAAAGCTAAGGAGAAGAATCATCTAACCAACAAGAAGCAAATACTTGACATTATGAGTCACGATAGAATTCCCATTCTTTAGATTGAAACCAAACAAGCAAAGATACTAGGCCTCTTGAGAGAATCAAACTTCAAGTATATTAAGTCTTCACAAAAATTGGGCAGAGTAACGGCTGTATACGGGTGAATTCCATATTATAAGCAAAAAGTGTAATCACAAAAACCTGCACACAAAAACAAACAAGCAACCCAATGTCTTGAGGTAAACCTCAAGATCTCCAGACAAAATAATCATATAAGATCATAAGGTATCAAAGATAGGCCAAAGTTTCTAATCCTAAGTCCAAGGAAAAGTCCACTGCTCCATAATGCCAAAGATAGTAACCAAATAGTCCAAGTACCATTAAGAGTTTTTTAGGGTTTATGTTGATTATTAAGTGTCTTAGGAAAAGAAAAATAAAAGCTCAAGTGAGCAAAATAAAAATGACAAGAATATAAATGCTCAAATGAGCAAAGATGAAAATGGCATGAAATGAAAAATGCTAAAAAAATAAATAGTGCATAAAGCATAAAAGAATAAAAGCATAAAGTAAGACAAGTCAATAATTAGTGGTTAGTTGGATGACTATATTGAAACTTGCATTTGGAACTCATTAGAGGATTGGTAGAACCAAATCCTCCACACAACAAGTTGCATTTGCTTTTTGTCAAGTATATCATCCATTTGGAATTCTCACAAGTACCATTTAATGATCAATGATGTTTAAGTGATCCGCGTTTACCAAAGGTGTTGTAGATCCATTAGAGGATTGGTAGAACCAAAGCCTCCACACAATG